CCTTTCAAAGGGGAAAATGTGAATAATGTAATATATGAAATTAGACAAGAGGGTTGCAGAGGTATAAGATTTGGGGAGCTTTTTTTTTAACCTCAAACTTTCATAGAACTTTCTGGTTGCCTGCCCCAACAAGTCACAGAAAAGGATACAGGCCACTCATTAGTCGGCGGCATGGCAGGGCAATTTGGGGGATTAAGAGATGGATGGAATACCTCTGGTTGGAAAATAGTAATTATAGTGTATGTACTGCAGAGTGATCACTTATCTATCAAATGTCTTGCTATTTCCTTCTATAGGGGATAGGAATGGAGCAAATTTGTCATTGATTTCGTAGATTCTTTACACAAATTACATTGGAAAAAAGGTATCATTACGACTATTGTTCAACTGTGATATGATAATGCAGACATTAATATTAATCCGCTGTGTGTGACTAAACAGGTTGACACAAGTATGAGCAACTTATTCTGTTTTGTTTCCTCTGGTCGGGACACGGCAGTTTTTACGACCCCCATCCTTCCACCACCCTGCAAGCAGCAGCTGAGTTGGACTGACGTGCCACTGTGGAGGTGGGGAGGTGGGGGAAGGGCTGCAGATCTTCTGAGAAGCTTTTAAAGTTCTGGACATTTCCATTTGTGGTTTGACATTACCAACAATGTAAAATCACTGCTCCTCTTTTGTGGATATTTGCAAACAATGCGCTCATTCACTGATGTTTTGCCTGCTGACATTTCAGAAGAGTTGTGCCCTAAAGAGGCTTGTGCACTTAAATTAACTGCAAAATCATACCACATATATGTGATGTAACCAGTGTTGGATATTGAGTCAGCAAGCAGTTTTATAATTTAGATGCTGAAGAGTAGTTCTGGTTATAAGCAACTAAGACTGATCCAGAATCAGCTTTTCTCTAAGTTTCTGTCTGCAGACACAGGAAGGAAAGTTTCAAAGCTGAGCCCGGACCAGTGCTGAAGAGTTAACCTCAGCCGACCCCTCCCATTCCAGCCTGTGGTTTCAAGGGGGACGTCCCAGCTCCCAGCTTCCTGAGGAAAACACATACACCCTCATTTGAATATCCCATTCCCACTTCTAGAAAGTTCTCTCTCAGGGTATAAAGAGCAGGAGAGAGTCCTACAGCCACGCTATCCACCGGACACAACTCAGAAGAGAGACCCTGCGTATCTGTGCCAGGTAAGGATTAGAAGATAACCATCTCTATTGTCAGGGAGGAATGCAGAGGGTGAATGGGGTTCTTTGTTTTCATGATTCACAATTTCATTGCAACTTTTTGTTCTCCATTTTAACCCGTTCTCTTCTATCTCTCTGGCCATTTGACCTGCACACAGAGTCTTATAGTTTATCTGTTGTGAAAGAAGAATACATCTTTAGTCTTCATACAAATTATCCCAGCATGATAAAGGTTGTCCTCTTGCATGTTACGTCTTTGCACTCTATTCACATGCATTGAGTGCAATCAGATGGAGGGAAATCAATATGCACCCAATCTGGATTTTTGACTTTTTTTTTGATGAAGAGAGGTTCAAAAATGTCCTTTAGAATTTAGTGCTGCTCGTTTGTGGCACAGCTGACTTGATTCATGTTTTTTTTTTTTCTGGGTCACAAACAGACAATGAAAAACATCCAAGTGTCTGATTGTGATAGAGAGATGACTAACCTGTACGTATAGTAACCCAAACTTAAATGTTTTTAGTATAAAGATTGTAAACTAGGATATAAAATGGAGAAATTATGCAACATAGAATATGCCTCCATCAGAGCCTGTATAATGTTTCACTGCCTGCTCTGTGGAGATTATTACATACAATTCTTGTCTTTCAGAATGAAAATTGCAGACATCAAAACTTCTCAAGGTATCCGAAAATGATGCAAAATTTCTGCTGTATCGCAAACAAATACAAATACAGAGATGCAGACAAAACCCTAAATCAGAATGGTGGATGAGGATCAGAAACGTGTTGCCGCTGCAGTGGGTTAAATTCAGCCCTTTGCATTTGGTCCTTGGTGTGAGAGTTATGGGTCGAGTTAGATCTAGCTTGCAGGGACACACCCTGTCTCTGAGACAAAAGATGGCTGCTTCAGAGGTAAAACAAGTAAAAGAGTCCTGACTTCTTCTGGCTCGAGATGAAGTCATTAATGTGCAGACGTGCAACAGTTAAATTACAATAAGTGCAGAGAAGCATCATATTTCAGTGTCGAGTCAGAGCTTCCCTCTGAGCTCCGGCTATACAGCTAAGTCTCAGCTGCTGCCGACGTGGCGAGGAACATGTCTGCCTGAAACTGGAGGCGTTCCCAAGCTGCTGTGTGGGCTGAGCCACGAACCGCTGCCCACAATCATAGTCTGCGTCCTGCTATTTTGTTTCTGATATATATTATTTTATGAAATCAAAGCTGTTCTCAAGATTCTGACATGTGCCTTCAATCTTACACTCAATACACATTAATTAGATTTTAGGAAACCAGCCCAGTTAACGAGATGTTAACCCTGTCCTTGTCTTTTGTTCCTTCTGCACAGGCTACAGCTGCTTTTGGAGACAGACAGGATGTGGATGACTAACATTGTAGCTTTTTGTCTGCTGGCCCTCGTGGCCTCTGCAGAGGAAAAGAAGCTGAGCAGCCACGCCATCATGCTGGCTGACAACAGCGCCAATCTGGCCTTCAGGTCTGACATCTATACATTACTGTGATTACAATTAAGTGTATATCATAAAGGTGCACTTTTTGCTTAAGCATTCTCTGTTTTGTTTTTCCTGTTAGAAACACAGCAAATAATCTTCCTTGTGATTTTGATTTAGCCTCTACCACAACATGGCAAAGGAGAAAGACACAGAGAACATCCTCATCTCTCCTGTGGTAGTGGCCTCCTCTCTGGGCATGGTGGCTCTCGGTGGCAAGGCCTCCACCGCCTCCCAGGTCAAAACCGTCCTCAGTGCTGACAGACTGAAGGATGAGCACCTGCACGCAGGCCTGTCCGAGCTGCTCTCTGAGGTACTTAGAACAATATGAAATACTGTATGTGAGACCTCAAACTCACTCTCAAACTTGACCATCAGTACTTTTTATATGGTGCTCAATTTTCACCGTTTATACATTGTCCCTTCCCAGGTGAGCGACGCCAAGACACGCAACACTACCTGGAAGATCAACAACCGCCTGTACGGCCCCAGCTCCGTCTCCTTTGCTGATGATTTTGTGAAAAACAGCAAGAAGCACTACAACTACGACCATTCAAAAATAAACTTCCGAGACAAGAGGAGCGCAGTGAACTCCATCAACGAGTGGGCTGCCAAGGCCACAGATGGCAAGCTGGCTGAGATCACCAAGGATGTGCAGAACCCAGATGGAGCCATGATCATCAACGCTATGTTCTTCAAGCGTGAGTATTAATAGTGTCTTTTATTCATAATTGAAACACATGGAGATGTCTAATGATTGTGTAACCGAGGGTTTTGTCCCACAGCTCACTGGGACGAGACGTTTAATGATAAAATGGTGGACAACCGTGCTTTCCTGGTTACCCGCTCTTTCACCGTTGGAGTTCCCATGATGCATCGAACAGGTGAGTTTCTCAAACGTCTCCACTTCTGTCCATATCTCATTATGTCTCCAAAACGGCTTCTGCCAACAAGAATGCAAACAAGACAAGATATCTGATCTGTCTGCTTTCCCCAGGTCTGTATGACTTCCACGATGACAAAGAGAACCGTATCTTTGTGCTGAACATGCCTCTGGGCCAGAAGCAGGCCTCTATGATCCTGATCATGCCCTACCACCTGGAGCCTCTGAAACGCCTGGAGAAACTCCTGACCAGGAAGCAGGTGGAGACCTGGATCAGCAAGATGGAAAACAAGGCTGTGGCCATTACACTCCCCAAAATTGAAGTGGAAGTCAGCCACAACCTGCAGGTAAATGGTGGCCATTTGATGGTTGTAACAATATAGAATTCAAGTATTAAAGACATTTAAGAGTCAACCAACAGCCCTTTCAATTGTCGCCGTCTTTTCTAGAAACATCTGGCTGAGCTTGGCCTGACCGAGGCCGTGAACAAATCCAAGGCTGACTTGTCCAATATCTCGGGAAAGAAGGACCTGTACCTGTCTAACGTCTTCCACGCGTCAGCCCTAGAGCTGGACACAAAGGGAAACCCGTTCGACAACAGCATCTACGGCTCCGGCAAGTTGAGTGACCCCAAACTTTTTTACGTGGATCACCCCTTTATTTTCCTGGTGAAGGACAACAAGACCAACTCCATCCTGTACATCGGCAGAGTGGTTAAACCAAAGGGAGACAAGATGCGTGATGAGCTATAATGTTAGCGTTGTGAATTGTGATGGATAGCTTTTGTTATTTCTGAAACAATGGCAGGAAACTATGTATTTTTGGTATGAACTTTACCTCATGAGCACATTCCAATAGGCAACCTGTGGACTGAGCACATGAGCTTACGACAGCTAAGTAAGTTAAGTAAATTTTCTTGACACCCTGTTTTTGTCACTATTGCTTTGGCTACGATCCATGTGTGATTTCTTTTATCAGCTTTAATGTTTAAAGAAGAAAAAAAAGATCTTTGCACAAACTCAGTTTTTTATTTTATTTTTGCCTGCTTCGTCTGCACTGAATTGTTCCCCTGCACGAGTTGAGTTTGTGGAGGAACGCTGGCAACAGTCTGGTGCTTCATTCATGTTCACTTGCCAACCACGTTGTGTCATTTCTGTCACTGTATTCCACAAAGAAGCTGTTGGAATTGTGTGTTTTGTAATAATGTGTTGATTTTTCAATAAATAACAACAAAGAAGATATTTGTGTGTTACACGTCATGTCTGAACACCATCCAAACTGAGTTGACAGTCTTCTGGAGCGTTGAACAGAGGAATGTGTAATCGTTAGAGTTAACAGCTCAAAGGAAAAGGACAACGGTCTTTCCAGTCGGCTGGAGGTCAAACAATCCTCCCAGGTCTGGAATGTCGGGGTTATTGCTAATCTGCCATAGACAATATCCACAGATTTCTGTGGTTCATTTCCCCCAGCACAACTGGCCTGAATAATAAAACCAGAGGGATCTTTGTTGGGACGGTCCAAACTGAGAAAAAGAAGGCTCTGGAGTGCAGGGTTCTCATGGTGAGTGGGAATCTTCTACAATTCTAGCACAGCAAATAAAAAGGTTCAGCTGCATCACAACAGGTTAATAATAATAATTAGAAACTTCATACAGCCTCGGCATTATCTTAAGACTTTTCATGTATCATCAATTTCATCGCAAATTAAAAAACCATACAATGGCAGTCTTCAATCTTACAAAATGTTGTAACCTCTTTGAGAGAAATATATGCCTTCTGGGTTTCAGCGTAAGAGCTGTAGCGCCACCCTGTGGTTGCAAAGAGGAAGAGGACTGGTTACACTGCAAGGAAGGCCAACTGATGAAGGAGTTACAAATGAATTATTTAATAACTTAACTACGTCTTATTTACATACACTTTATACTTTGCAGTGCAGTAATAAATTACAAGACAAATAACAACATATAAGTTACACAATATACATGATTCTGACCTGGTGTTGTTTTGCACACCAAGCATGAATTAAGCTGCTCCTATAATGAACATTAAGATGATGAGATGCAGGGGATTATTTCCAAATGTTAAAGGAAAACAAAAGGGTTGGCTGAGAACTGACTTCATATTTTGGGTTTAGGTTAAAATAATACTTTCACAAATACACTTCGATCAAATAATATATTTCAATGCTCTCAGGTATCCCCTTTAGCTTACATGCTGTTATTGCTCTTTACTCGTTAATAATAATAAAAAAGAAATCCATTCAATGTTTCTTAGAGTGGATCTTATTTTGAACACTAGATGGGGCTTTTCAGCGGGTGCACAGCTTCCGAACACATCATGCATTTCCAGTTGTGATTAACATTGTACACATAGTTTTCTCTCCTGAAATCAGTAATACACCTTAATGGATTTGTATACAAAAGTTATTCTGACATTACAAAGGGATATTTAATTTAGAGGGCATTTTGGTTGTTGTAATGAATAAAATATCTGTATGAGCATCAACACAGCTGATCGTGCTTCCATATTAACATGCCAAAGAGAGGTTATAAAGTTATTATGATATAAAGAGTTGTTTAAGTGTTGAAAAGATTGCTTAACAGAAAACAAAAATAATCATCATTTTGATTACTTTTGTTGCATTGTCATGACTCTCCAAGTGCTGTCACCCGTTCATCAGTGTAAATAAAAAGATGACGAAGCTTGAATGGGCTTGAATGGACATGACCAACTCTTCCTTGTCTAAAAGAGGCAAATGTATTTTTCTTTCTTTTGTTATTATAGACAGTAGCAGCCTTAGCCCCCGACTTCGGAGGGATAATAACAATTCATATTCAGCCATAGCTAAGTAACATCCTCGGCCCCACGACTCTATCATGAGCTCTCATGGCAAACTAAAATCAGACATTATCACCAGAAAATATAACATTTCATTTTGAAATAGGCGTTTGGGGCATTCAATCTTCCGGTGGGTGAACCTCTGGTTGCCCTTAAATAGGTGACCACTCAGTGGCCGGTGAGTGCAGAGAGGACTGAATGAATGCATCCTTCATTGAGGAGCGGTGCACCTTCCCTGCGCTGCTGGCAACAGGTACGCAGGGAGGTAATGCGACAACTCTCATTACATTAGCGCCGTCGCGTTCTGCTGCGCTGGCTGCAGGCAGATTAGCCAGTCGATGGGCAATCCTCTTAAACAAGTCTGCATTAAGCCAAAGTGAGAGGATGGGTGGTGCTCTCTGTCCTCTGCCTGCCCCCAGCTCTTTGTCTGTGTCCTTCTCTGGACGTGTCCTCCTCTCTTCCTCTCCTCTGGTTTTGCTTCTTTCACATCTCGTCCTCTCGTTCAGATCTTTTTGTCCACCTGCCTGTTGGCCTTGCGAAAAAGGGTCTTGATCTCCTCTGTTACCATTTCCTGCCAGTTGTCCCTAGTAAATACAGAGCGTGGAGTTCAGACCAATATTGTATTTCACAATGACATTTAGTTTTTAAGCAGAGCTCTGGCATTCAGATGCCTAAAAACATCATGGAAGCATGCCACGAAGCAGAAAAAGAGAGAGAAACAAGAGCCAGCCAGCCACAATAAAAGCGAATGAATTAAACAAAGAGGGCTTTCCCCAATCTGTTTAAGAAGATGTAGGAGGTGATAAGATCAAGAGATTAATGAGACTAGTAGATCACAGATCCGGTAATCAACGAGAGGGGTCAGACTCAGAGGTTGGTCACATTGACTCTTTGACAGCCACAGTAACACTTCCACAACACAACACCAGCTGGCATGCAGGTCTCTACCTCCCATGTTTGGACTAAGAAGGTCAAGCCTTTTTCTCAGCTTTCTTTCTCCTGTACGCAGCTATGTCCTCAAGGTTCAGCCCGTGATTGTCTTCCCTGAAGCAACATTCAGATGAGTCGAAAACGTTTCAGTGGCGGGAGGCAGTTACATGTTGATAACACCAACGAAATGTAACATCTGCAACTTGAACTATGAGAAATTGTGATAAATTCTGGTCCGACTCATACAAGAGAGATTTTTTAATCCCTACATATGAAATAATTTGTACACATTTAATTATTATTTTAGGATTCATCCATATGAAAGCTCTTACCCTGGTTTCATCTCCGGCGGTTTTGGCAAAGGCTTCGTGAAGTTTGTTTTCCCTACAAGCCAGTATGTCTCTTCAATACCTTTACCCTGAAACCCCGCCCCCAAAAAAAGCATGTTTAATAGAACTTGAGACTGTCTCCTGTAAAATATTTGTCTTAATACCAAATACTGAGGTTAAATGATTGTAGACGTCACCTTCAGCTCTGTCTTGCCTCTGACATCTATTTTGTAACCCTCATTAAGAGAATGGAGGATCTTCACAGTGGTCATATTTACATGGATTCTATAAGCTGATGGAGAAAGAGAAGAGACGAAGGCATTAGACCAAAAACAAAACATGAAGCAACACCACAAAGTGTGGTGGGTAGGTGTCCAGGGAAACTCACGCAGCCCAGTGGATTCCATACGAGAGGCAGTGTTGACGGTGTCACCGAAAAGGCAGTACCGCGGCATAGTCAGACCTACCACCCCAGCAACGCAGGGCCCTGGAAATACAACAAAAACAATGATGAATTGTTCTGATGTACTGGGGACTGCATCAGACACAGTAATCAATCAGCTGTATAGGCTTCACTGTGTTGTAGCTGTGCGAAAGTGTAAACAAGACCACCTAAACAAGTCAAGCCCACAGCCAGAGTTTGTCCGGTTTAAAGGTCCTCTATATGTTATTCAGAGCATTAATAAAGCAACAAACAACTCTTATCTATAGATGTAGTGGAGTAATGTCTATCTGAGCAGAGAATGAAGTCACTCTCCCTCCTTGTGTGTTGTAATCTGAGAATCTCTATGCTTTGTATAGCCGGGCCGGCCGCGCGTACTTTTAGTGCATGTGAGCGTACCCTACTTAGCTCATGGCCACCGCTTTGCACTGTGTTCATTCGACAGTTACAGCTGTTAAGGTTGTCAAGGAAGTGTATCGTCCACCTTCATGCTAACATGGTTAGCCATGGTTAACATGGTTCCCCTTCATGCTAACACTGTTACCTCTATCAGTAGGCCTACTGTTGCTGTGTTTGCAAAGTCAATGCTGTTAGCAAGGTTAGCTGCTAGCCGCAGGCTCAGCCATCATTATGTTGAGAGCCGTGTTGAGGCAATGGATAGGCCTATGCTCTGAATTTCATATTGAGCACAAGATGGATTCAACAGTAGGACTCTGAATGTAGTGAGACTTTTTTTGCTTGATGCACCACAGAGCAACTTTCATAGGAATGAGTAGGAATCCGCCTCCAACTCTGCATCTAGTTCTCTTCATACGTCCATCGTTGTCCCTAAGCGTAGTAGCCACAGTCTTTCCCAGCATGCATCAACACTGTCATTGACAATCTCAACATGTACGAGCTAAAAGTCTCTTCTGATTACGTTAAAAGAAATGGACATTTTTTAAACAAATGTTAAAAGAAGATCATTGATACCAAAAAAACTACTCGTTGCAGACAGTCGTGATTTTGACTGTTTGGGTGATATATGAGACCAAATGTCTTTTCTGTGGTGGAGCAGTATTAGACAACAAAATACAAATAATGTAGACAAGGCATTCAGTTGAAAAAATCCCCACAGTTTCCCTCATATTCACTGATACTAATGAAGACTTTCTCACCTGAATGGATTCCTATGCGTATCCTGACGGGAACGTCTGGCATGTGCCGCATATGGAAGGTTCCTACTGAGCTGAGGATGTTCAGAGACATGTTGGCAATCTCAGCAGCATGCTTGTTGCCGTTTTTCTTTGGCAGACCCGATGCTACCATGTATGCATCACCAATGGTCTCCACCTAGATAACGCAAACATATTTGTTCAGTTATGGGCACATCCGCGTTTGTCTATGTATGTGTCTAAATACTGAGCATGTTCTCTGACCTTGTAGACATCGTGGTTACTGAGCACGGCGTCAAACAGAGAGTAGAGGTCATTGAGGAGGTCGACCACCTCGATGGGATCACTGAGCGAGGAGATGGTGGTGAAACCTACAATGTCGCTGAAGTAGATTGTCACCTGGTCAAAGTACTCCGGCTCCACAGTGGCACCGGTCTTCAGGGCCTCAGCCACAGAACTGAAGACGGGCAGAAACGTTACAAGAACCACATACTCAGGCGTTTCCTTAAGATAAATGCAACATCATGTTTGGGTTTGCGTATGTGTG